GATGATTTTAGTGGTGTTTACACTCAAGGTTGTCATGGGGATGAATGGGGACAGTGCCGAGGAGGAATCTGCATGTTCACAGCCACCTTGAGGCACAGGAGCCTGAGCACTTGTAAGGCACTCAGATCCAGCTAGTTTCGGCTCAGGACCCCTGTGGCAGGGGAGGGATACCAAGGGCCCCCTTTCCTTGGGCCAAGGACAGGAGATGGATTTGTCTGACTATCCTCTGATAGGGGTGCTCTTCACTTACAGGGGTGCCAGGTGCACTTGGGGGACTGGATACCATCACAGTTTGACTCAGGCTGGGTCTCCTGAGCTCTTTCTAGAACAGTGGGGATCCTGAACAGGACAGCAGGACCTCACCTGCCACACAGTCCCAGGCAGCATCTGCTCCTTCGCAATGTCGTTTGAGGGAGTTTCTGGAGCTCGCTAAATACGTGGGAACAAAACATTAATCTCTTCATTGTTCACAAGAAGAAAGCATTGAAAACAACCAAAGTGAATGGGAGAAATATGCCAGAGCCATTGAAGTTTGTGTTGTAGAAGGCAATGAAAGTTAATTCCTATACAGCGAAGAAGTGGTAGGAAAGGCAATTTAATTCACACGAGCACACGTGCTTGTGCACCTACAAGGACATGATGCAACAGTCTTCCGGGTTACAGACTTAGGACATTTTTTCCCTGCTTTTTAAAATCTGCATTTTCTAAATATATTTCTTTTCATTTTTAACAAAAATACATGAGAGTTTGCTTCAACTTTTTTTTCCGTTTTGTTTGGTCTGGTTCTATTAATATTTATTTATTTATCTATCTATCTATCTATCTATCTATCTATCTATTTATTTATTTATTATTTATTTGAGACAGTATCTCACTATATTTCTGAGGCGGGTCTCAAATCTGCAATGTTCCTGCCTCAGCTTCTTGAGTGCTGGGATTACAAGTGTGCATAGTCATGCCTGGTACTTACTCTACGTTTTCTTTAGTTGTTTATTATTTATTTATTTAAGATCATATTATTTTAAAAATTTAGATTTATTTCATGTGTATGTATGTGCATTATATATGTGCCTGGTGTCTGTGGAGGTCAGATGGGGTGTCCCATTCGCTGAAACTAGTGTTTCATATGGTTGTAAGCCACCATGTAAATTCTGGGAACTGAACTTAGGTCCTGTTCAAGAACCCACTCTCCATAGTAGACACTCCCATGCTAGGCCTAAAAGAGGACAAAATGGCCAGAGGCCAACTGGCTGCAGGCCCTGAGTCAGACAGCCATAGACAAGCTGGTCAAGGGGATCTGTCTCCTCTGTGTACTCTACCCGACCAGGCTGCAAGTCTCAACTCAGGAATGAAACAACCACTTTATCAACAACTGGCAGAAAGGCATTTGCCCTCCCATCCACAGAGCTGGTGCTCAGCTTGAAATTCAAGCAGTGCCTACAGTGCCATCAGGAGTACTGCTTATGGGACAGGCGGCCCCACCGGTGCTCCCTGGGGGCCATCTCCCTAAACCCCAAACTGACCTGGAATTGAGGAAGCCTGTCACAGAGCGCAAAGGGATGCATGTATCTTGGCTTCTCAGCCAGCATAAAGGCCAGCAATGCCTGAATAAGGCGCTGGGGGCTGGGGGGCGTGGGATCCAGAGCACCTTTTCCTGCCTCCAGCCTCTGCTCTCTCTGTTCCCACTCTGCTTCTTGTCTGAGCCCTAGATGCCATGGGTACATCACCTCTTTGCACTGGGGTGCGCATCCCTACTGCCTGAACCTCACCAGGGACCAGGGTTTCCTCTGAAGACTCCTTACAGCATTCCAACTAGCTGGCTGCAAGCTGGCCTCTGCCTTCCTCTTCAGTCCCTTTCAGGGGAGTTCCCTACTGCTGGGTCCCTCCCCATGACCCTGCTCCTGCCTGCCCTCACCTGCCATAGCAAGGAAGGCTAGCATTCTTGGGGTAACCAGGAGGCTCCTGACCCCTGGAGATTTTTTCTTATCTTGGACCTAGCACAGACCTTATAAGACTGTTGTGATCAAGGAGGAGTTAGGACAAACAGTACATTTTATATTTTTGGATGTGGACATCTGAGGTCTGTGTGTGGAAGATTAGATGAAGAGAGGAGTTGCAATTATTCCGAATCAATCACCTGCCACCCAGTATGGTCCCAAGGTATGCTGTCTTCCACTTTGGGATGCCGAACCTCTTTACCTCTGGCTTCAGCAGGGTGGGTTATACCCACAAATTTAGGGAGAAGCCTTTCTCCAGATGTGACATAGTGAAACCTGGATTGACAGTTCAGCCTATGAGAGGCACCACAGCTGTGTGCTGGGCCTTTGAGGTGTAAATCAATGAGAAAGTAATGGGAAGGGGCCTGGCCCCCAGCTCATCACTCATCCCTCAGATAAGGCTTTGTCTGAGCCACACTGTTCCCCTGGGACCCTTATTGACTGTCCAGGAGAGCCCCTGTTCAAGGACACAGGCTGCTTAAGGGGGCTGACGGTTGGTGAAGCAATACAGATGGCCCAGACAGCAAAGAGGCTGACCTTAGTCCCTGCCCACTGTCCCCAGTTCTTCCTGTCGCTGGCCTTGGCTCCACTTTGTGGTGGGCAGAGCTGTGACAGATCTCCAGGTTTCCCGACTTCCTGCCCTGATATTCCCATAAAGCTGCTCACTGTAGGAGGAAATGTTCTCGTCCGGCAGTCAACGAACGGAACTATAAGGAAAGACTGGGAGTGAAGATTTGCCTGATGTGATATACACTCACTGGGAGAAAGAAGAGCAGTACCCAGAAACAGTGGGAACCTGCATCTGGTCATTCAGTCCCATGCTCCCCGCCCCCACCCTCACCTGAGCTGTCACTCCTCACTGCTGTGTCTATGCTGGACAGTGCAGGTGTCAGCATCATCCAGCCCAGCTCTGTTCATCTGAAGGAGGACTTTTTGATCCCACTGGGGGTACCCGCAAGAGGCCTGAGCCTCCTGGTTGGCTAAGAGAAATGCGCTGCTGGCCTGTGATCAGGTGTAGCTTTAGCCCTAGAGCAGGCCAGTTATGGGGACCCAGGAGCTAACTGGCCATTTCTCTTGCCCAGCATTTGAGAATGTCACTTTAAAAAGCACATATCCACCCTGGACCCATTAATCTTAGGAGATTCGTAGTTAAGCAAGACTTTGATTACATTTAAGACAGTCGAGGCATCTGTTTTTATTCTAATTATCTGATATCCTGTGTGGGACCTGCGTTTGTATCAGAGTTTCCCATCTTAATAGACCTTTTGTTAAACAGGACCAGATAGTCCATGTCTTAGTGTTGTTTTCTTTCATAACCCAGGGGTGCAGAAGTGTTTCACCAGTGTTTTGTGGTGACGAACAGAGCTATAAAGATGGCTCCTACCAGATTGGTGACTGAAATCTGTCACCGTGGTGTCACTTTGGGATACAGTCTCCCTTTATCAGCTGATTTCAGAAAAGGCACTGTGGAGAAATTCCCACTCACTCTGAAAGCTGTTGAGGCAAACCCTTCACAGAAAAATGCCAGGAGTACGTTGTGTTGCTTGAAGGGCCAGCTTTGTTATCATGACATTTTAAGTCAGCACCAATAGTTTCACTTCTGCCTCATAGGATCTGAGTGCCAGCCATGCTCAACTGGCTGGCATTGGGCTTCTAGTGCCCAGGGGTGGAGCATTCATTCCTCAGGCATGGGGAGATGGACATGCCCTAGAGCCCCTTCAGCAGCTCTCAGGAAGAAATGTGCACCCCACAAGCTCTGGCTCTTTCCCATTCAGTTGGAGGAAGCAAGACCCTCCACTTAGTCCCTTTTCTGGTCAGCCTTCTGCTTTGTGCTGTGTTTGGACGGCACAACAGACCTGACTGGATGTTTTAGTCCTCTGTCCCGTGATCCTGGGACATCATAAGATTCTACCTTCCACAGCACTTTTGTTTTTCAGCAAGTTAACACTTGAAGATGTTTTATAGTTATCTTACTGTTGTGAGATGGGATCATTTTTGTTGCATTTTGAAGTATTTTTCTCTTTCAGAAATGACTGGAAGACGAGAAGCACAGGAATGCTGTGTTTTCTGTAAGGAGTTACATTTCCTGATACCATCTCCCCAGGATCTTTCCAGAGTCAACAAAGTTCCAAATGCATTTCCCATGTCCCAATTTTATGTACTTCCCTGTGTGTTTTCATCTTTTTTTTATCTAAGTTTCTTTCTATGTATGCATTTATCTACCCATCTGCCCACTAATCCATCCATCCATCCATCCATCCATCCATCCATCCATCCATCCACTTACCTTCCCATCAACCCACTATCCACTTATCCACCCACCTACCTATCCATCCATCCACTTACCCACCCACTGACCCCTCCACCCAACTACCTACCCATCTATAAAATATCTATCTACCACCCAACCTTCCACTCACTTCTGGACTTTCTCAGGTAATTAGAAGGGGAGTGACATTTCTTCTGAGGCAAACCTCCTGCTGGAGATGAAGAGACAACAGGAAGTAGACCAACTAACATTACATAAACACTGTCACCTTTCCCACTGGGCAGATGATAACAAAGCATGACAGTAACCCCTGCTCCACACATGTCCAGGACAGGGCAGCAAGTACTCGAGAGGGACAATGCCATTTCCTGAATCTTTTCCTAAGTGATTCTCAGATATCTCAGTTCCATTTATTGCATTTGATCTTTCATTTATTTATTTATCTATTTATTTATTTATTTATTTATTTATTTTATTTTTTTAGAGACAAGGTTTCTCTGTGTAGCCTTGGCTGTTCTGGACTCACTTTGCAGACCACACTGGCCTCAAACTCACAGAGATCCACCTGCCTTTGCCTCCAGAGTGCTGGCCTTACAGGTGTGCATCACCATGCCCAGCTTGCATTTGATCTTTTCTATTCACCATTTTCCTTGCTCTAAAAGCAAATAAACTTAAAAAGAAAATTACATTTAAGACAGGAAATCATAACAAAACATACTGGTCTCTTATAAGTGTATTTTTATTACAATAATTTAATGTTCTTTCACTGTATCTAGGTACCAAATGGTGCCACATGCTACTGATTGGCCTTTACCATTTCTAAGTCTATGATTAGCTCACAAGTTTGTATCAAGTTTAAGAACAGACCACAAAAGCATATACTAGATTGACTTTTCCCCAGTATCCTACCATAATCTGAATTTGAAGACTGATAGACAGTTTAAACTCTTTTTTCTTACATTGAACTATGTATATAAGAATAACCACAATATAAGCTAATAAAGGTATGTCAGAACTCCTGCTTTGGCTATGTCTTAGGACTTGTCTAAGTAAGTGTTGATGTTTCCTGTTGGGACTTTGGCTCAGTTCTGCTCTGTACTCTCTAAGAAAATGGGCTCAGCAGTCTTGGCTTGTTCTTAGCAAAAAGCAACCTGTAGAACAAAGATAAGCATCTTGTCTAGGCCAGTTTGTTTCGTGAGTTGTGAGGATACAGGCTCAAGTGAGGATTCCATGGAAACCCTAACACATCTCACTGGACCATGTCTCCTCTTCCTGTTTTTTATCACCGACCCTGTCTTAACAGGAACTTTAATATTATCATCATTATTTATTTTTTGACTGAGGTCTAAATTTTTGTTAACTCTAAGAAATTTTCATCTTGCAGGTTGGGTGCTTCTTTCTTTTGCTTTTAGTGGTGAGTGGTTTTCCACTGGATTTTCATCTTCTTTTGTATTTGGTGTAATTTTAAAGGTAGAAAGAGTGGCCAGCCAGCCCAGCTTCTCTCTCCTACTTCCCAGAAAAGCAGGCATCTTACAGGAAGCAGGCAGATACCTGGGGCTCTGGGTAATTCTCAATCCAACCAAGGTTTAATCAGCAACTCAGTAAGCTACAGGCATTCGTATGAATTCAAAAGCTTGATATGGAAAAGAATTTTTTTAAAATGTCAAGATATCAAAACCATTGTAAGATCCATAACCCTGTTTGGTGAAAAATCTAAGAAAATATGATAATCTAAGTGTCTGACCATATATCTTCATAAAGGCCCCAGCAGGTGAGAACCCTCCTGATAATGGGAAGTTCCCATAAAGGCAATTTTATGAAACAGCACCATAGTGTGCATTTACCGAGAAAGTCCAGGTAAAAGAATGCTAACAAGACTTCCTGTCTCAAAGGCCAAGTTTAATCTTACAGGTTATAAAAATAAGGTACAGGAACAAGGGTCCCCCTTCTCTCTCTCTCTCTCTCTCTCTCTCTCTCTGACATCGCCCACTATAGCTCAGAATATGCTTTAAGTAACAGTTTTCTTCCCTGCTGGGAAGCAGCATCACTGGTCCTTGTGTCTCCTCTTCCTTGTTTGTTTTGAACACAGAACCTCAGGGTTACAGAGGACCTATGATCCAGCCAGCCACAGACACATTGCAAAAGCACACACTTTCTCAGATTCCCAGATAAACAAGTGACATTGAGACTTAAGACTAAGGGGAGGGAAAAAAAATAGAAATATCTTCCCTTTATTTGGGTAAATGTTTGCAAATATAAAGATTATTCTGCCTGAGGAGCCCAGTAAATGATCTAAATACTGTCATTTCTGGATGGTTTTATAAACATCCATTTTAGCTCTTCTGGTTCAAAATTTGCCTGTTACCCATGCAAGTTTCACTGACAATGATGAAAATTTCTTTAATTAAACAGGTGTAACCTGTACCCACACATGCTGAATAATTAAAGTTCAATTCCACTGAATGCAAATTTAGCAGAGACAATGAGAACACCCAGGAGAAGCTGTTACCACATTGCGATACACTAAGCGTAGGAAAGGTGAATTTCCCTCTACATCCAAAAATAAATACATAAATAAAAATCTACACACTGTGATCACTGAGGGGAAAACAAACCAAGAGAGCTTCAAGCAAGACAAAAATGTGTTCGGTGCCATATCTTTCCCAACCCAGTGTGCGATAACCTTCCGAAACATCTGAACTCAGAGCCGGGTTAGGAGACAGCTGTGATGGCCATTCGGTGTGAGAAGTAGCCACTCCTTTTCATCTGTTCTTCTGAATCTTAGGGCTAAAGGTCTAAGATGTAGGAGTTTCCAGATCTGTAAGCCCCATTCCTGACTGGGGGAGGAGGACTTTACATGCACCACACAGAACCTTCCAGAATAACCTGCACCTAAATGCCTTGAATTATAACTGACCGAGTATTTGAGAAGTCAAATTGAGTTCTTCCCAAACAGGAAACCATGTGTGTGGATACGTCAGACACACTTGCTATGAAACACTCTACCCACCCTTGAAACCCCTACTGACTTAAAGAAATGGCTTCACCCTTTTCCCACGGCCAAACTTAATGCTCTATTGCCAAGCCAGCTTCCATCCAAATTTGCAAAGGGGTGTTCAGTTTGAGAAACCTCTCTTCACCTAAAAGAAGATTTGGGGCTTGTCACGATGCCAAACAAGAGATTTTCAAACCAATATCACGCATGAGACAAGTACAGCAGACGGGAGATGAACGTCCTTATCAGGGCAGACACAGGGATGGAGGCACGCAGTGACCTTTGGGGCCATGACTCCACTCCTCACTCTCAGGGTTCAGGATGATTGATAGGAGTGCCGCATAGATCTGGAAAATAGAGTGAAAGTGTCACTAACAAGTAAATCCCAGGCCACTGAGACGAGTTCTCTTCACAGAAGGCCCAGACTGGCAGTATGTTTTAAAATTTTTTTTTTATGAAAAAAATATAAATACACAGAAACATAGAAAGGAACCCACTTCCTTCCCTGCTTGCCTCCCAGATCTTGAGCCCAGCTTCCAGATGAAGCTGGCCAACCCTACTGTACTTATTTCATCTTCCAGTTTTTTGTTTTGTTTGTTTGTTTGGTTGGTTTTTGTTTTTTTTTTTTTTTTGGACCAAGCATCATTTAAGGACCTCAGGATTGGAAGCTTTTAAGGGAGATCCAAGCAGGGTGTTTCACAGTGCAAAGGGGTAAAGATTCTGGCGCTACCTGTTTTGATTTACATTGCTTTTCCTTTTGAAATCAAAGATAGCAGTTCTATTTAGGAAGGCTGTGGGTTACTTTAACTACATAATTTATTTGAAATGTGCCAGCCTTTGAGAGTAATGATTTTTTATGTGTTAGAATCTAAGTCTCCCCTCTTGCGTTGAGAAGTCAGACATAACTGAAGATTCTTGCTCACTTAAATGTTGGCTAGCCATTTCTAGATACTTGCTATCTCACACTATGAGTTCTGTTAAGATGTTTCTAAGTGTTGTGATTGGACATTAGCATAGACTGATCAATACAGAATATATCTATCTATGTTTCCACTTACATCTCCAGGCACCAGTGCTGTGCTCATTCATAACCCATGGCACATGCCCTCCGCCTTGTACAGACACAGTTGCACTTCGAGTCATGTTCGATAGTATATCATGGTTTTAATCATCCTCATTCCAAGATGTCAAAGTGACCCTCTGGACATGCAGGGGTTGCCGCAGCAGATGTCATCGGGAAAACCTAGTGAACTTACTTGCCTACACATTTTTCTTTTGTCTATGAAAAAAGAGGAGTAAGCCTGGCTCCCCTGCCTTGCACCATAAGCAGAGCGTGGTTCAGTGGTCCACCTTCTACCCAGGGCATGACACCACAGTGCATGGCACCCACAGATCCGGGTAGCACCCTCTCTCAGTGAGATCTTCCCTACCCCATCAGATGACAGCAGTGTTTATGAGATTCTCAACTGCTGTGGCATTTCACAGTTCAAACATGGCCAGCCTGAGACACAGGCAGGTCTTCTCCATCATGCCCCATTCACGTCTGTGCATGAGGGTGAATGGTTGAGCCTTGACATGTTGAAGAGTCAGGCTGTGTCCTCATCAGCTTCGCTACAAAGAAAGGGAGACAATCCAGACAAAGCAGGAAAAAGCAAAAACTCACATATGTAGTGTGGATGTAGGATATGGAAGGTAAGCTCCTGGAAAATCTCAAGTTCTAGAAACATCTATTTTCTAAATAACTATTTATCCCCCTGTGTGCACTTGCTCAATTCTCAGGATGGCAACTTACATGTGGCATGCTCCCCCACCCCCCAGACATACAGGACACAGCCCTGAGACATGGTTTACATTGCCAAGATAAGGCTTCCGCAAAGCTGTCGTCTTACATAAGACACTCGGAATTTCTGAAATGCAGCTGGTACCCTGCTCTGGTAGAAAGGCCACTGTACTGTGTTGAAGATAACACTTCAAGGCACCGGGAGTTTTTCTGTGACGTGAAAGAGTCACCTTTCATGCCGTGGGTGTCTGGATCCATCCCATGGGTTAAATCACAGCACTCCTTTGCTACTCTTCCATTCCCTAGAATTTGTTAATTTGTTTTTCTTGAGACAGAGCCTATGCGGGCTAGGTTAGCTGTACATGTCCGAGGTTAGGTAACTATACATTAACCTACCTACTTCATAAATATACATTGCATAGAAGATACTATCTTGAGAATTGGAGAAAATATCTATTGCTTTTAGGAAGACAATAATTATTTAGAGAATAGACACTTCTAGAACTAAAGATTTGGCAGGTAGCTTGGCATTCTTATCATTGAGTATTATTTTAACTTTCTCTGGCAATAATTTATGCCAGTCTGAAAACGCATTCTCCCTTGCTCTCGTGGTGTTAGCCTGCCTCAGTTGCATGGCTAAGGAAGCTTAGTCTCTGGTAAACACTAATTTGCCCCAGTGTTTGACTTCGATACAAGCTGTTGTATCCATCACAAGCTTCGTGAGGGAGCACAGCCTGAGAGAGCTCTGGCCCCCTTTGCCTCTGCTCAGCCCAGCTGCTGACAGAGAGTTGAAAAGCAATCGAATGCCAAGTCACCTAGTGTTCTCTTTCACATTACCACCTCTACACATCCCTTAGGTTTATTCTCTGCGCTCATATTTCCATTTTCATTTCCAGTTACACCTACATAGAAAATGAAGAGAGGGTGCTAACGTTACTGAAACTGAGTCAGATCGCTGAACATGGGAGCAGCCCTCCCCAGAATCTTAATGCAGAGGCAGTGACTGCCAGAGTCAGTGTCTAACATCCTCTCAGGCCTTTCTGGAAGGGCTGGGTGTTCATGCCATCATTTCTGATGGCCATCATATGGGGACTGTGGCTAGTTCAGCTGTTTACAAGGAAAACTAGCACACAGATTTCAAACCCTGCCATCACAGGTGCACTGATATCTAACACACACCTATCATAGCCGAACTGATTGAAATACCTCAAAAAGCCTGTCTTTGGGAAGTATGGCTATGAACTTGTGTGAATGTCACAATTCTGTAATTATGTAACTATTTTAAACCATCTCAGGCTACCAAACAATCCTCTCCATCATTTTACTGGATTTTTTTTTTTCACACTCCCACAGGATGGAATTTTAAATAGAAAGCAATCTTTTTGTCTATTCAGAGTAAGGAAACTTGAACTATCTTGTTTCTGGGTACATGGCCCCCTTGTCTAGAAACTTGCAATGACCTCAACACTTAGCTACAAGCACACAGTAATATTCCTTTAAGGACTACAGTATCTACAGTATCATCTTCGATATATGGGTGGAGTGTGTATACTCCGCTTAATTCAACCTTAAGCTTCTGCATGGCTTATGGAGAACTGCACTGGGATAAAGCATTGTCTTCAAATAAACTCCTTCCTTTTCTTCCTAAGGCCATCTGAGAAACCCTGCTCAACAGATTCATCCCATGCTCATCTCTGTATGGACATGTGTCAAAATGAGAGCAGAGGTACGGTCAGGCCGACACAGGAGGGACTAGCTAGCGGTCACAGGCTTTGCCTTGGCATACACTAGATAACATTCTGTTCATTTTTCCCCCCTAGCTTCTAAGTGGGCACACATGTCTAAAAGTATAAAGCAAGTATTATTTAAACATGCTGAAACAGAAGAAAACACTTTTTAAATGTAGATACTCAGGGGAAAGAACCTGGAAAAAATATCCAAATAACCCCCAACCTAAACAAGAAAAACTCTAATGCTTTTTCTTTCAAAATAAAAATCCCACCTTCTGTTGTGAGGACAAATACTTAAGTTTGTAAAAAAAAACTAAAAAACAAAACAAAACAAAAAAAACACATCCCTTCCTTGGCCAGGATTAAAAAAAAATAATAATCTAACATCTATGGCTTTAAAATTAAAATCACTGGCTTTGGGGTCACCCAGCTCTGAAAAACAGTGGGTTTCATAACACCCACAGTCAAATCTGAATTCTTTGTGAGGGAAAAAAACAAAGAGGAAAAGTCGGCAGGCAAGCTCTGGCCTGCGCTTCTGCAGCTCTGCTCTCTGGCACAGGGGTCTGTCCTGTCTCCAGAAGCCTGTGCTGGAGGCTGGCTGGCAGATGAGCTGTGCAAGGCTGAGCGAGAGCGGTGAGACAGGCTGGGAGCACTTGTTACATCAGACACAGTACCTGATTTTTCACTGCACAGCATGTCAGCTAGATGGGTTGCCTCCTGGGCGATAAGTGCGAATATCTCATCCTCATACTTTTCGATGATGGCTTCGCACTACAGAAACACAATAGCAACATGTGTGAGCAGGGGCAAACCGGCAGGAACCCTTATTAGCGCAGTTAGAGACACTTTAGCAGCTCAACACAGGAAAGCATGTAACCAAGGTTGTCCATCTTCCTTGCCCCTTTGGTTTGATACATCATTGCACAGGAGAAACCCTCCTCCAGGAATGCTAATTTTATCATTTTCCTGAGACTTAACTAAATGATGACTCTGTTGCAAGACCTCAGAGGAGGAGGAGAGAGGAAAATGGCGGCTGTGTTTGCTTCTCTCCTTAAAGTCTGGAGTCCAGCAAGCATAAAGTAACTGAAAGCTTTCCTTTCCCATTTCCTTCAGCATTTTATAGACCACATCTCCTGGAAACAGTTAAACCAGTTCCCTTCCAATCTAACATAATAATTCACTTTGTGGTTTGAATATCTGAAACAATCGAGGCTCCTCAGCCCTCATAACTCTGGCACCTGCCAAGTTAGCTAGCTGCTGAGCACTGTTCTTCCTTGCAGGTCACTCTGCAAGTTTCTCAGTAGACCCTTGAGGAACCCAGCTCAAATCTCCGGTTTACTTTCCAAAGCAAACAAAAAATGAAAATAAAACAAGCTGACACTTTAGGCAGGAGAAAGCACAAATTTGCCATGGGATCTGAAAGAGTTAAATTCTGTCTGGAGTGTGTCAGGAACTACCAGGCGGCCTTTTTTTTTTTTTTTTTTGAACTGTGGGGTTACTTACTGATGGCCATCCACTGGAGACTTGTAAACCATCTCTGAGTTCATTAAGCAAGACTCTAAGATTTTTAAATGGCATTTAAAAATATTTAAATTCCACTATAATGTGTTTATTTAAAACCTGTGAAAGACAAACACACTCATATCACCATCCAGGTTCCATGGGGCTTTTAGCCCTGAATCACTGCCCTCACTTTTTAATTAAAATGAAATCTCCAAATGTCAGCTTCAGCCCCATGTTGGGGCTGCAGCACGCCTGACATTTTGGCCACTGTGTGAACTTAATACATTTTTTTAAACAGGCCTGCCCATCACTGTGTGATTCAACAGCATTAGGGGAAATGATGCTTCGAAATGTACTCTTGCCAGGTACACCCTAGTAAGTCAGAGGCCAACTTTCTTTCTGTAAAGCCAGCTTTAGTCCTCGTCCTACTCCGAGTCTTGGTGTAGCCTAGTCTGAGCTACAAAACGTGAATTAACCCCACGAAAATGCTCCTTGAGAAACCTGCTGGGGTGGGAGAAAGGATTTGGGGGCCACTGCTCCAACATTTAACTATAAATATTTGAAACCGATTCTTGGCCTTCATTGGGATTTCAGTCTAAAAACCACAAGCCCTGCTTCCTTTGGTGAAAACCTGAGACCCATCCCTTGGTGACAAGGCAAGCTGAGGTCTTCTTAACCCACACCAGCAGAATGTGCAAATGGTGTCCATGTCACCAGGACAAGGGACAGGGGACAGGGGCCACCTTCCATAAAACTCCCTTCAGCCTCCCCACTGATTACTGAAGCGTGCCACAATCCCTGAGACACCTACCAAGTCACTAAGTGTTCAGCTGAGACCTAAGCAGTGCGGCAGCACAGAACACCAAGGCATGCGAATAAGCCTGATTCTCCACCGCCCATCAACAACTCAAGAGTAACCCCAAGCAGAAAAAGGAGACCCCAACCGGCTCTTAGAAGGGCTCTTACCGCGAATCTCAAAGGTTTGAAGGCATCGGAATAAAAGAAGAACTTTTTATATTCTTTGTATATTTTGTCTCCCTTTCTCGGAGCGTATCTCCTGAAATACTTCTGCTTAGTCACTGGGTCGTCCTCCAGCTGGTAATCGTTCATTCGCAGACACACTTTATCCAAAAGGTCGATGAGAAACTCCTCGGACTGGGCCAGGGGAACCTACAAGAAGAACAGAACCAGCCAGGACACTTGCCCACGCCCATGCGGGTCCAGTGGACGCGTGGAAGGACGGCTTCCTAACGGAAGCAGCTGCACCGTTCTTTATGAAGCTTAAAGAGAGCTTAAATTCTAGCGAGAAAATAACGTGCTTGACAGTAAGCAAAGGAAAAAAAAAATCTAGAAACTGTACTTGTAGATGTCATTTTTAAAAGTTGTTGAGTAGAGACTGAAGGGAGCACAGAAAACGGGAGGGGGGGCGAGCGCATCAGTGCTGCGGGGAAGCCACACTTCTGCCCCCCTCGCCTTCCGAACACATCGCGCGAAGGCTATGCGGGGTCCACGCCGAGGTGGTCGTGAGCTGAGGGGACCGGGGCGCCCCTCACTGGCCCCGGCTTGCTCTGAGAACAGCTGGCGCGCGTCCCGGGCGCCCCTCTCCCTCCGGGACCTGCCGGGGCGCGGTGGGCTCCATGCCACCACCTCCGCCCCAGGCGCAGGTCAAAGAGCATCCCGCGCCCTAGGAAACCGAGACAAAACCTAGTGCGTCGTCTAGACGGGTCAAGGTGCAGGAGGCCGGGTCCCCGCGGTTCCTTCCGGAAGGGGCGTGGAGCCGCCAAGGGCGCCCGGCCGGGCCCGCAGCTTTGCGCGCTTTCTCTCCCTCCACCCTCTGCTGATCAAAGAAGGAAGTTTGCCTGACAACTGCGCTGAAAGGGGCTGCATGACAAATGAACTCGGTTTCTGCAGTGTTGATATATCCAGCCCTCTTTGTCCCCTTTCACACGCAGTGTGAGCCCTTCCGGTGCCAACGACTGCGCGACATTCACTGGCGCGCTCAGGGCGCACAAAGGGTCCCGGCGCTTCCCCGCCATCTGGCCGCAAAGCCGATCCGCAATTAACATGAAAGCACGGGGCGGCGGGGACCGCGAGGAACACCCCCAGATCGCTGCCGCCCCGAGCGTCCACTAGGAACGGACCCTAGGCACGCATTTATGGGAAGCGCAGGAACCGAGCGTGAGGACCGCGCCCGGTCACACCCGGCACCTCCTGCGGCCCAGGTGAACCTCAGGCCACTGGGAACTCTCAAGGTCCTGGCTTCGTAAGACCAATTAATTAAATATGTCTGCGAACTAGAATGAGAACATTCCACAGCAGGTGTCAAGTTCTTTTCCAAATTCACCAAATTATATATATATATATATATATATATATATATATATATATATGTATATATGTATATGTATATATACAGTGAAAAAAAATTCTACAAGGGCACTTTCGAATACAAATGGCATTTTATTTATGTTTTTCAAACTTTTAAGTTGCAAGAAAGAAATTCACAGGTTTACTGAAACTACTGAAAATTGGGTAGCTGAAGGACACTCCAGTAAACTCGGAGGGGCCATTGGAAAGGCGCAAGATCGCAAAGATGAATTCTTAAGTTAATGACGCAGAGCTAGCCTGTGTTGAGCGTCTGTCCTTAACATATAAGTCAGTTTCTAGATTTCCACAAGCTGGATTTTAAGTCACAGCAAAGAGTGGGGTCGTTCATTACAACAAACAAAACAAAACAAAAAAACTAATAGCAACTAGGAAATTCACTCTCTCCTCCCCTCTTGTTCAGATAAACAGGCTCTATGTGTGGGGGTGGAGGCGGGCCTCGGGTGGGAGGGCCCAGCGTGAGGAAAAGGGCCCTGGGAAGCCCAGTTCTGTTACCAGGCCAAGATCATCCTCACGTGCTAAGCGTTTCTAGTAGCCTCCTAGAAACTATTCTTTCTTCTCCTTTCAAATTGACCTAATACTCTGAGCTGTGTGTAGAAGATTGCTGAGCCTTGTAAGTTTGGGGCAAAATCACGAAGGCCTTCTACATGTAACTTTTGAAAGCTTTTACTTTAATTTTTTCCCCCCTGGGTTGCACTTTTTGAAAACAGTCCTTAACCATGAGTTGTTTTTAAAGTATAACCTCATACCTTTGGATCTGGAAGCAGTGTGTTCTACTTTAGCACAAATAGGTGTGTGTGTGTGTGTGTGTGTGTGTGTGTGTGTGTGTGTGTGTGTGAGAATTTCTACAGGTTTTGTTTTATTTTTTAAATCTGAAGATTGACAGCTTTTGAATAGCATTAGCTAGCTAGCCTTTTTCAGGAGTCTTTAAAACCTGACACAGTTGCTGGCTGAAGGCTTAGAAGATACTATAAACGTCCTCTGAAGAGGAAAGGTAGCCCTCCCTGAGGTCATTTTACGAAAGAGTCTCCAAATTTTGATCTTAAAATCCCCAAGAACCAGATCTTGGAAAAATATTTTAAGAGCTGTTTCTCATCACAGATCTTTATACATGTATTAAAATCTACATTAATATGATTGTACTCAGCTGAATCACCTTTGGTTATATTTAAAGACTGTTCATAGAATAATTCCCCCCACCCCAAATTGCTCGGATTCTAGGAGTGCAGTTAAGTACTGAGACAAGTGGAATAAGAACCAAGTCTTTCTTTGTACACAGTGAAGGTTTTGAATGGGACTTGTCAATAACGCGACTCCCTTTGTGATCTTCCAGGAACCTCGCCTCCGCCTTGCAAGGACTGTCTCGGAGATACTGGCCTCATTAAAATATGAATGGAAAGGGCCGCTGTCACTACCGCTGTGTCGGTAGAGAACCCGTTCAGGCTTCCCGAGCAGTTTTCTTGCTGTTTTATAGGAACTTCTATAGCATGTTAGGAATGTAAAAGTGATCTGGGATCTTTTCCTCACTCTCCCGGGGTAAAGACATCTCCCAATTTTGAAGCCTCCCCCACACCTCTAAATCACATATGGCATATGCAGTGTCCACCCCCCACCCCCATCTTAGGTTTCTCCTGACCGCTAACAACGGAAAGGGGGTGGGAGGTACCCAGACCACAATTTTGAAACAGAAGGAAAGTAGCTGAAAGTTCTGGTTTGGGTTTATCCAGGAGTCTACAGCTACTGAGTTCGTTACAGACCACTATGACTACACTTTAATAACAGCCAATTACAGCATGCTCCGTGTTTTTTCATTACTGTGTCTCTGTTAATCTTGTAGCAAATTTCTTGCTTGATAGCTATCACAACCAGGCAGGAATACAATTATGTCACAGCACAATGGATGTGGAGACGCTAGTTTTGATGCTTTCCTCTTTTCCATCACAGCCTGACAGTCACCAATAAACTTCATTCATCTTCATGGCTGCTGTGCAGTTTTCCTTCAGACGTGAAGGTGGCACTTAACCTGCTTAGTGGCTGATAATTTCATATTGTTGCAAAGATTTTCCTTTCTTGAGGGTTGGTTAATGTAGCAATTATAAGTGTTTTAGAGCAAATATTAGATCCAGTTTAACTGCTAACTTTCCATCTGTAAAGAATGGAATAGCCACTGATATTAGCTAAAAGTCAAAATTGGAAAAGTTAGAGTTAAAAGATTTGACAGTTACAGCTCCTCACCTTAAGCTAGGATTCAGAAACTCTTGTAGGCTGATGAAACATATAATTAGCTTTTATGTTAATTGACTGCTATGAGTTTGTTGTATGATATTCTTTCATATAATATGCAAATTGCATCAAATGTTTGGCTTTATTAGACAATATGATTACAGATCTACAGGAATTCATTTTGATGAGAAATAATAAAAGATGATGGATTTCCAGCATTATGCATACCAGGAAAAAGAATAGTCTCTTCTGAACAAGAGAGACATTTTTTTCTGGTAGCCTGTATTTAAAAAGCAGCTGGAACATCACAAAATTCTCATTACTGTGTTTCAAGATTCCACAAACTTCCTGTTATAGAGGTAGGTCTGTGGGCTACAGGCCCAGCAGTTACTACAGTATTCTTGCCTTCCAAACAAACAAACAAACAAAAAACAAAAAAGAACATTTCTTACAGTCTGAATGATGAAACTGGTCATTCTGATTTTTTTGCAAGTGTTTTCTGTCCTTATCATTAGAGTATGAGGGTGCCTATCAGTAACATGTATTCTCAAGGAGTTGAAAAATAGCAAAATAAGAACCCTGTTATTTGGGGGAATACCCTTGCCCCCAGATTCCAATCACATTTTTTTTATTCTGGAGGTTATCTTCAGCTTAACAGTGACAGAAGATAATAAAAAGGAATCATATCGTGGGGAGCATTAATAATCGATGATTGGGGGGGTCGTCTAACTCAACTTCTAAAGTTAAAATATATGTATCTTTTTCTCACTATTAAATTTTAAATTGGCACTGCAATTAAGTTTCTCATTTTAAAAAACACTCTGCTATTTTTAACCTATTAAGTTTTGAACATTTATGTGAAATGAAACGCACAGTTCCCCATATGAAAACAGGGCTACTCCCCAATCTCTGTGAAGTCCTGTCAGCAAAGGCCCAGGCACAGTGTCACCACATGCTTGGCTTTGTCCTGTGCTTTGGGCAGTGCGGGGAATTCTGCTGCTTCAAACGTTTCTTCTGGGAGAAAGCCAGTGTGCCCAGTTGCGGAGCAGAACAAGACAGCACTGTTTAAGGCCGGGCAAAGCTGGGGACCAGCCTGAGCTACACAGGAAGTTTCTGGGCAGCTCAGGATACAGTACTCTGTCTTGAAAGATCAAATTTTAAATAAAAATAAATAAATAAAAGGAATTTGTTTATTCATTCACCAAATAATTGTTGGGCCTTAGCTACACTGCAGACAAATGCGTTTCTCAAATACAAACTTAAAAAAAAAAAAAAAAAACATGTTATTGTTTTATGTGTATGGGTGTGTGCATGTCTGTGTGCCACATGTGTGCCCTCAGAGGGTAAAATCATGAGCTGCCACGCGGGTCCTGGAAAATGAACCCAGTCCTCTGAAAGAGCAGCCAGTGCTCTTGACTGCTGAGCCATCCCTCCCACCCCAAATACAGACTTTCCTAAAGACTCTTCATGCTTCTGAATTAACCCTGAAATGAACCTTTTTAACTAGAATGTGTTCCCAGTGGATATCAGATGGTGGTGTGGCCGCGTTTACGGTGTGGCCGTCTCCTTGGTTTATAGATTCCTGCCGACCCAGCCTTGTCTTTCCCTGTCTCGTTACTGCACACCTCTCAGTAGCTGCCCAGCTATCTGCCAAGCCAACTCTGCCAAACAGGGTGCAGTGGCACAGCTGGTCTACCATGGCCTTGCTTGGCTTTGTCTTTCCCACGTCATGGGCACATGGCAGGGAAGGGGTGAGGTTGCCTGGCGAAGCTTGGGAAGTCTAAGGGGAAGGTCTGGGACTCAAGCCATGAGTTAAGGTGTGTCATTTCCACAGATGCAAAGCACATGGACGGACACATGTGTGCCCACATCCATAGGCATGCTCTCACACACACATGTAGACATACTACACAACCGTATAAATGTGCTTACACACAACCAACACATTCTCACATGTGTATGTATACACAAACATACAAACACACACATACACATGCACACACGTGCACCCATACCCACACACAGAGAGAGGGGGAGAGGGAGAGGGAGGAGGAGAG